GTTAAACCCTATCCAGTTCGGCCAAGTCTTCTCCTGGCTCCGCAAACTTCTCAAATTGAAAACTTATTTTTTTTTTCAAAAGAATAGCTAACAGTGTTAGTCTGGAAAAAAATAGAAAAAAGATCTCAGCCTATTATGAATTTTTAAGTACAATTACTTTAGTTAATTGATTAAATTTATTTATTCACGCTTCGGTACAAAAATTCGCATAGATCTCTCCACTTTAATCTCGGATGTTGTTGCTTCAAGATGGGGTTGGCATGATCTGGATTACTGTTTGTAGATCACATGGTCTTGTTTTTATAAGACAGTCGACAAAACTAAAAAAATCAAAAGAGATGTCTGATTCAATCGATGCATTGATAAGAGATTTAGAAAATAAATTACACTATTCGTCATTTTACAGATGTAATATTTTGTATTGATAATTATGTTTCTAAATAAATGCATTCATTTTCTATTCTTTTCTTTTCATAGTCTAGTATTCATCACACACTTATCTTTTTATGGCATGTGCTTTGGTTTTTTCCCCCCACATCTAGTTTCTCAACATGCGATTTATGGAAGACGCGTTAAAGTTTCTGAAATTAAATGCGGGTATATATGAATGGAAAAAATATTTTTGAGAGAGTTATATTAATTGAGTCCGACAATATTTAAATTTGAATTAATCAGATAGTCGTATATAAAATAAAAAAAAAGTTTTTAAAGCTTTCTGTTTTCTCATTAGAAAATGCGAAGTATTCCATCTCTCTACCTGCGTATACGTACTGATCATGTTAATTCCCTCTTAGGTTAAAGATGACTTTTTCTTACCAACAAGCGTTGGGTGCAGTGGTAAAGGCACCTGACACACCCCAGGCGGACAAAGGTTCGAACCTGGAGCTACGCTTGTTGGGAGGGGTTTACCGCCTTTGGTGCAAAGCACCTTAAATGAGCGTGCCTAAATACCAACCCCACTCCGGATTAGTCAGTTGCCCCGGGTTACCTGGTCCAGTTTAGAAGGCCAGGGACTCAGGAAAAGGCGCTGGATACCGGGGGGAATCGCGGGTCACTTGCCTTAGATTACCGAAAAAAAAAAAAAGATGACTTTTCCTTAATTAATTTGGATCTCAATTAGGGAAGGCAACCAAAAACTGCTGTTGTTACCAAGCATGCATGTTGACAAATTTTGATTTTAAAAAAATGAATCGACATAAATTATTATATATGTTTGTTTAATTAGACAAGAAAACTACGTGTGTGTGTGAGAGAGAGTGTGTGTGTGTACATAGATATATATATATATATATTTATATATATAGCAGGATATATTCCTTCTTCAATAATAGACTACTGAATCTGTCAACTATTATCAGAGTCATTCCAGGCTTTATTTTGCATATTAAAGTGACATTTGTTATTTAAAAAGCCAATACAAAGTTCAAAAGAAAACTGAATTTGACATTAAATATTTGTTTTGAAATATATTTGAAACTTTGCATTAATTGTCAACTGCTCCCTGAATATATTATTTAATATTTATATAAATAGTATTATTACTTAAATGATTTTTTTTCCCCAAATGTCAAGGAAGTCACGTTTGCAATCAAATATATAGTACAACGTTATGAAAAGTTCGTGTTTAATTAAATATTATTCTTAAGGTATGTCGAGCGAAAATGTTTAAGATGTAATCTCTCTAGGTTAATATGGTTGGCCAAAAAAAAATCTCCAGATTATTATGATTTAATATCTTTTACTTAGATGTAAAGACAAAATTAAATGAGATGTGATAGACGGGAAAAGAATTTCATTTATTTGTCTGTTTGGAGATGAAAAATGAACTCAGTGTGGGTTTACCTTGCGTTTCAGGAACGTCCTATTCCTTAATAGGGTAATGTTTACTTAAGTAACGTAATTTGATTCCTTCAAATGGGGAAACACAAGAACTCCTCCTGTCCTATTTATAAAGCACATAGAAAAGTTTTTGTTTTCCTATGTATAAATAATCATCACTTGATTAAGTTTTTAGCATTAATGCGCTATTTTGTCATTTATTTATTATAATGTAAACAGTTTAATTTTTGAAAAATGTGTATATAAACTGAGAGTAAAGTTAAAAAGTTATTATATTTTAATGAAGAGTTAATGTAGTTTAATATTTTTTTTTAGTTTGTATGAAACATGCTAAAAATAATTTATAAATAGGACCAGAAAAATAATAAAAAGGCAGAGCTTTTAGAAGACAGTTGAACCCCAGTCACAAAAAAGGCCTAGAGCGGTTAAAAAATAACTCTCCCAACAAGTGTGCTTTTCAGGATTTGAACTTGTGTTCTCCTTTTTATGAGGGTGAGGCCACTACCACTTCAATCAACAGCTTGTTCATTTATCTCTATTTGATATATATTAAATCTCATGTTGACTTTATAATAAATTTTGTCTTAAACTCAATTATTCAAAGAATCTAATTTAATTACTACCTCTGGTCCTAATTATAAGAGCCAGCTGACTAATTTGAGGAGATTAATGAAGTAAGTTGGGTTAGTTATTTGTCCTAAATAGGTGTTGTCTTTCCAAAAATATCCTTGCTAATCAAGTGTATTGACTAGAACTCTTATTATGAGAAGGGCTACTTCGGAAAAAAATGTATAAATATGAGACACAAAGTGGATTGGTGTTTTATATTTAAGACCAAAATAAAAGTCAAATAGGGTTTTATATTAAAGACCGGAGGTAGTATTTCACAATATCAGTTTTGGATGACTTATAATCATCTTTTCCTTTTTGGAGAATTACAATCAAGTCCCACAGAAGGGAAAAAAAATTACAAAACAAGTCCCAAAGATTTTTATTCTCCACTGCATGACTTGTTATTACAGACTACTCAGGTTGTTATTAAGACTTTTTAGTAATTATTTCTCTTTTATGAGACTTGATTGTAATTCTTTCTTTCTTTCTTTCTTTTTTTTTTCCGGGACCACAGGACGGTGTTGTTGATCAATCTATGCCTAATACGACTAATTATTAATGAATTATATAAAACTTTATTCAAAAGCGTTCGGTTCGGCTATGGCCTATGGAATATTTTGGCAGCCTAGCGCACGAAACATTAACTATGCCTAAAGCAAAGGTGATTACTGGTTACAATTAATGTGTTGTATTCTTTTCTTTATTCTCTTTATGGGGAGTAAGTACATAAGTGGGGGAAAAATTAATGAAGTTTCACTCCATAGACCATGGGGCTCATAAAATATTAATTAGTAGATGACTGTAAATCATGCACTGACCATATGGGACCAAGTAGTGAGGTGGATCAATGTTATGGTGTTCGCATTTTCCGGCTTAATTCTGGGTTTAAGAATTAGGATTAGTCTAATTCTGACTTAATTTTTTTTTCTAGCAAAAAATCATTCATTTAATGATGATCACATGACATCTCAACTCTCAAGCTTTTATCCCATTTTATCAGTAATATTTCCCTTATCTCCAGTTTCACACACTAAATAAATTGCATCTTTCTAAATTCATGTTGCTTGCAAACAAAGACTAGTTTAAAAAATTTTAAAGCACCGTATAGGTATCTTAAAATTTATCTACTCGCTTTTTAAGATGCTTCTTTGTGATTCTTGTAAAATAAAATTCTTCATAGATTAAATTCTACAGAAAAATAGAAAAATATGGGGCTGATTCGGTTGAATTCATATCCTGCCAAATACTCCTCTAGTCTTATTTATAAGACAGAAAGAAAAGCTTTTTCTTAATCCTATTTATAAGTCATTTCATTAAGTCTTTAGTGAGAATGTATTATTTTATCTTTTATTTATTATAGCATAGATTTTTTTAAAAAAGTGTATATATTAAATAAGAATAAAATTAAAAAATTATTATATTTTAAAAAAAAGTTAACGTAGCTTACAATTTTTTTTAATCTATATAAGATACGTTGAAAGTGATATGTAAATAGGAGCGGAGGAGTACATCAGATGTTAAGGATATTTATGGTGTGGCCGTAATTAGTGTAATTAAATGAATCCTATTTCACCAGACAACTTGATGGACGTCCTTTACTCAGACTTTTTAGTTCTTACCGGACACCCTATCGGGTACAAATCAATTAAACCAACTGTTTTCGAGCATTATTGATCAATAATCAATTTTGTCTAAATTGATGATGACAATGACTATTAATACCGGTCCTAATTATAAGAGTTAGTTGGCTAATTTGAAGAGATTAAGAAAATAAGTTAAGTTAGTTATTTGTAATAAATAAGTATTGTTTTTCTTAAAATATTCTTGCTAATTAAGTTTATTGACTAGAACTATTATTATTAGAGGGACTACCTTGAGAAAAAATATATAAATATGAGAGACAAAATAGATTGAAATCTTATAATCAGGATCAAAATAAAAATTAAATAATATCTTATATTAAAGATTAGTATAACACTAAAATATCCAATCTCGTAGGACGCCAATCAAGCAATAGTAATGAATTATAGGCATCCAGGCTGTATTTGATTTCATGCACATGAATTCATTTAAATAACGAAGACAAATTTTGAGCATTGACCGCACCACCGCCGGCAGCAACAGGCAAAATCCTTATCCGTCCAGCTCGCTTTTTATAGACCGATGCAGTCAAATGTACGTGTCTGCGGATAACAAGGAATGGCATTGTTCATCTGCGATAAATCATGCAATCCTCAGATCACGTGTAACGCACAAAACCCCGCGGCAAGTTATGTTCAATAATCGACAGCAAAGATGGCAAATGAGTTGTCCACAAACAGCATAGTCAACTTGAGTGTTTCGAATTATCAAAATATATTAACAGAGACCGTCCAATTCAAAACAAGATCAAATATATCAAGAAAAGGCACCCCGCACTTCTCTTTTGGAGGGAGACCAAAGATTCAAACCTGTGTTTGTACGCGTGCTCATTTGTGTACTAAATATCTGAGCGTTCTATTTGACCCCTATAACCAAAAAAAAGAAGGATATATCAGTAAAGACGAGGCTTGGTCAAAAGGCATGCCTATGCCATCAGATCTATTATTTTTTGATATCTTGATCAAATATCGAGGTATTGGGGTACTGGCAATCACATTCGAGCATCGTCATATTGTCGTCGTCGTCGTCGTCATCATCATTATAGATGGAATACAATGTAATTTAGTAGCTACAGCTTTTAACATCTAAATTCTAATTCCAATAGAGTTTGAAGCTGGCTGAAACTTCAGGACCTCGACCTCCCTAGAAACTCTGTTAATCATATAGCAACAGTTAAAAAAGAATGGAAAGGAAAAAGATTGAACTCCGGAGTCATTGAGAAGGGATATAATTTAAGATATTCTTCAAACTACAGGAAAACAAAAAGTATCGCTAACTTGTGATTTTCTGGTCTAGTGTGTAAATGGTGGTTGATAGGCAGGTGGAGCGGCATTTCCATAATCATATATGCCGTAGTTAGTCTGAGCTCCAAAGGAAGCACTAGGAAGCGAGTAATGATGTTGAGTTAATCCAACAGGGCTTTGACTATGAGGAGCTCCATAAGCAGCTGCATAAGGATTAGCTGTAGGACCATCATAGACAGTCTGGCTGGGGTAATTGAATGATCCAGAAAATCTTGAAACAGGGCTGGGTTGTGGAGGAGCTGGTGGGTTCCTCCTATTCAAAGATGGGTATGAATTAAATTTTGCTGCTTTAGCCGGCCGGAAAGAGCTCGATCCAACACCTCGACCGCTGCTTGATCCATAGGCCCGCTTATGAGATTTATTCCCCACAAACGAACTCTTTTTCCTCTCAGCCTTGGATTTCTCCAGATGAGCAACTCGTTTCCTCAAACTATCAAGGTTGAATTCTGATTCCAGTTTGTGGTCTTCTATACATTTGATCGCAGCCTTGATGGAATTTAACTCCAGAGTGCTTGATTCATCCTGAAAAATGAGCTCAGTATAAGAGGTCTATCGAAAACATTAATTCATGAGAATATTAACACAGCATGAGAATCTAAATTAAAAAAGCAGTAATCCAGACCAATGCAGCCTGACTGTGGTTTCCACTCTTTGATAAGGTGGTAGCATTCTTTTTGAAGTTCCGCAGATAGGACTTGAGCAGATTAATGGGGGGAAACCTTTCAGTCAAGCCAGATTCTGAAGCAAAATAGACAGCTTCAACCTCTTTGCCATTTTTAACGAGTTCATCTATTATATCTGCATAGAACAATAGCATTTATTAGTCCATGTATGCCCTGGAATGTCAAATGATCACAAAATTCTGCCATGTTCAGATTTTTAGTTTTAACCAGATCCGTCATTTTTCTTTTTTGCTTCTAAACATGATGATCCTTTTCTCTTGTCAAGAAGCAAATCGTTTGGACATGATTAGATCCTCGTAGTAACTGTGGTCATTAATATACAGTCCTCACAGATATCAACGGACCTGATAAGGTTCCGTATGAAATTTACACTGTGGTAATACTGCCTTGAAAATATAATAAAAGCCAAAACTCCGTCTACTGTGATAGAGCTACTGGGTTTGCTAAGACCTTATTGGAGGAAAGGAGGAAAAGGTTAGAAGGGGGCAATGCTGCTAGTTTAGAAGATTATCCCACGGTTCCTGGCCGCAAAGGAAAAGAAGTGCTGTATGAGTAAGCTTTAGGTGCAGGCAGTAGGGGTAGTGTCTGTTGTAATTTTTTGGGTCTTTAAATCTTCCCTTTGGTCCAGCGAGAGGGAAGTTCTGCCTTTTTCAAATTGAGAGTAGTGAGGAGAGTTCTTGCCTCTTGAACGCCAGGTTGGGGGTGGAGGAAGATCAACTTTCTTCGTCATTTTCTGTTTCTGTTTCACGTGTCTCTTTTTGTATCCGGTGTGAGTTTTCTCATATTGTAACTCCCTCTCATTCCGTTGAGAGGACGAACATTTTGATATTTAGTATAAATTCAGTGCTCAATATATCTACTATTCAGCTTGGGCTCTATCACACTGCAAATTACATCTTTTTCCTCCAAGGAGCAAAGTGTCGTCACAACATCTATGGGCACCAGTATGTAGAATGCATCTTGTAACTTGATTTTAGAGATAATTATTATAAAAAAAACCCAAGAGTATGTTTCAGTTTATAGCATCTTAATTTTATGATGTGGACTCAGCTTCCGTTGGTCTTGCGAGATGGTATTACTCTAGTAAATCAAACTAAATCAAAAACTCATTTCATCAAGTATTTGGGGGAAAAGCTCCAAAATCTAGAAGGAAGATGCTAAGTAGGAATACAACATGGTATATATTCATAAATAAGATTAGAAAAAGGAATAGAATAGTTGAAGGGTTCATCCAACTAAGTTTTGCACCATTCAGTTTATAGCATCTTAATTTTTTGGCCACGAAAAGGAGAGTGAGATTGAATCATTGGAAAGTGCATATTAATGGATGTCCAGTGTTCCAAAAGAAGTAGGGACTGGGGACACAGATACTGGAATTTTTACTGATATCAAAGGATATTACTAAGACCAAAAAGTAAATGCTTGACACATCCTGCTGTCTAACTGTAGAAAAATGTCAACTTGTCTAATAAAAAACGTACTGGGAGAAAATTAAAGGTGGATTTTTGGTGTGATAAGAGAAGATACATCAGAGATCGGCACCATGATGTGGAGTTGAGATGGGAAATAAGAGAAAGGCAGCCCCAGGATGGCTGTGATAAACCTTAAAGTGAGATAGTAACTTTTAACAGCCGAACTCAATAGCAAAAGAACTAGACATACAATAATACAGATAGCACGGACTGACGCTTTCAAGACGATCTATGGTTCTAGACAATTTCCAAATACAAAAGATTAAATTCTCAATACGTTCCACTACATTTGGTAGCCTGACTAGATTGCCCTGCTTTAAATCTTACTACTTTTTAACAGGTTCAACCTAAACTCCACTCTCTTAAATTGGTGAAGATAGACTTAACAACTGAGGAAAAGCACCAGGTCTAATGATTATGATCTGATCATATAGAATCTTTTACAAAATTGTAAACAAGAGAGATTCTCATACCTAGGCTAAATCCCATTTGGACAAAATTCATTCTTATTAAGCACGTAGCTCTGTTCACATAAGATAGATGTATAAGCTTCATACTAGAAACAACACAACAATCAATTAATACAGAAAGAAACTTCACATTTTTTTTCGTTTCATGATGTCCATGTATGTCTTCTTGTCTGTCAGTTCATGTTTCTAAACTGGATCTCAAGCGAACTTCGAATCTAATTTTAAGAATCTCAAAAAGGGCTCCAGCGAACTTGTTGATGTTGCCGGCTTACATTTCAAGAGTAGAGTCACTTTGCTGTAGACTTATAAACAACAAAATTAAAATAAAAAACGGAGCATACTATAGTTAATCTGTCTCTATACTGGGAAGCTTGAGGCAGAGACATTGAGGTTGAGGGAAACTCCTCTCTATGGAAGAGGTCTATTAAACACATCGGCAGCAGCTCAAGTACACCTCGGCTCTACTCGACAATTATTGACATCCCTGAAAACATAACTTCTATAATGTTTTTTGGGCTAACTAATCCGAAGCAAGCCTTACTGCTCAAGTCAAGAGTTTTCGATTTACAAGTACATGGAGTTGGCACATTTGTTTACCATTATTTTCTTTAAAATGTAAAATATAACATATGATAACAAATTAAGAAAGGAAAAACGACAAAAGATAAAAGAAGACTGACTAATGACTCCACTTTACGGATGTGTTTGAAATAAGTAAATAGTCCATCATGAAATTCAACCACGAATAAGCAATGTCATCAAGCAAGAAGTCCCGTCACTAATCAACATGCAACCAAATTGTGCAAAACTTGCGAGTGGACATCCAAATATTTCATCTAGGTATTCTGCGTCTAATACCAACAAAAAAACTAGCATGCAGAGAACAGGTGAGGGATTATACGAACCTCCCATGTTCTCCCCGAATTCTAATGCAGATGCAATCTTTGCCATATCCCTTCTCGACGCAAACTCCATGACCATCTTTCTCAAATACTCCTCATCAAAGCTCCGACGTAGTCTGAAACCTACTACCATCTGAAGAAACATCACCGCTTCGGCTGCACCGACAGCGCCGTCTTCAGAAATACCATCCATCTGCCCTTTCCACAACTCTATCAAGTCAGCTGCTCTGCCAACCATTCTTCTGCAAAATTCTGGCGACTTGCCTGCAGAACTAGTTTCCGGAAACAATGCTTGAATCAAAATCCCACAAGCCCATCGCTTATCAGTGACCCCAGATTTTGCCGATTTGCTATTTAGAAATTCTTCCACCGCATCCAAGACCAATCTTGGAGGGTCCACCGCCTCCGCTATGGCCTGCACTATCTCGGCTCTCAACGACGCTGATTCTTTACGCCTAGATACGATGAACCTCAACAACGCTGAAGAATCCATTTTACGACAGAGAGACTTCAGGGTTTCAGACAATTCAACATTTGCGGGAATTGGTTTAGCGAAGTCGGCCAAAGCTGCTTCCTTTTGTTCTTCAATTCGCGCGGCCGCAGCGGACTCGCGTTCTGGAATAGAATTCTCGCGGTGATCGAGGGATTCGTGAGTCTTGTTTGCATGGGATTCCAGAGCTTCAAAGTTTGAATCTATCAATTGGGATTTCTGGGAGATTGAAGCTTCCAGGGAAGAGAAATGTTTCGATAGGTTCGTAAACACCTGGGTGCAAGTGGAGATAATAGACCTGCGTGCTTCGAGGTCGTCGAAGAATTTCTGGACTTTGTTTGTGCTTGTTGCAAGCTGACTCGCCATTGATAGATTGATTTTAGCGTTTCAGTGGTCACATCTGGAGACAAAACCCCAAACCTTATCCTCGGGACACTCCGTTCCCAGTTCCACTGAGCAAGATGACATTAAATGAATGAACTGCGACGAAGTACTACCGTCATCGCCTGAAATGTAACATAAAGAAGGAGGGAAGGAATGATTTGCGCGAAAATAATAAAATAATAATAATATTATTAATAATATCATTATTGTTATTGTTAAATCTTAAACCAAGGGAGGAAGAAAGGAATATCGGCAAAGGTAAAGCTGGACATTAATAAAATGATGATTTTACTCAATAAATTGATCTTGTAGTTTGAATATCTTTACGTCCTCGCCTAATCAATTTTCAATCTACCAATAATCAGATGTTTTTTTTTTAAATTACCCTTATCGTGTTCTTATTGGAATTCTGGTTTTATTAGATTAATGTGAGTATTGGACAATGTATAATTGTATATAGTCTAATAAACATGATTTTTTATTCATCTCTTATTCTCTTAAAAAAAAAACATATAATGCAAATAGGAGTACAAGGTCTAACCTCTTGTTTGGATTGAGAGAAAATTAAGAAGGAAAGAAAATTAGAGGGGAAAAAATAGGAAGAAACGAGTTTTCTCTTGTTTGGATATGAGAAAAAATGTAAGAGAAAGGAAAGTGAAGGAGAAAATAAGGTGGACCACATGCTTTATTTTCTCTCCAAATTTTCTCTTCATATATGGAGGGATTTGGGAAGGAAAACAAGATTTCTATGATTACCCTTCCTCTCTCTTCCTCTCCATATTTATTTTCTTTTATTATATTTAAAAAGTTATTCACTTTTTATTTTTATCTTAAAACAATGTTTTTATTAAATAATTTGGTTATAAAACATAAGAATATGAAAAATATATGAATCAAATAACTTGATTTTAAATTATTTGATGATGCTAATTTTAGTATAATTTTTCTATTGCAATATTCATTTTAATTTAATTTCAAATATGATATATTTTGATAAGGACATTTTAGTCATTTAGATATTTACTAATTTTCTCACTTTTTTTATTTTCTCTCGTCCATCCAAGCAAGAATGATGATGACAACTTTCCTTCAATTTTTTCTTCTCTATTTTCTCTCATCTCAATTTTTCTTCCCATCCAAGTAGAACATAAGAGTTATAGACTAAAAATCATACTTACAAAAACTATGTGGAGGTCGATAATCCAACTTTTGATCACTCTTGATGTAGAAAGAAGCACAAAAAAGTAATTTTTTTATTTCAGATCTAATATGTATTATTTTTTTTGTTAAATGCGTCCAACACTCCAAACTATTTTTTTAGGTACATCCAGTGTCCTAAAATAATAAGTAGTGTAATTTCACTTCTAAAGTTAATAAAATGGTGCGGCATTATCCACACCTAACAGAACTGTTAGTTTGAACGTTAAAATGCTAAGTTAGCAAAGTTTGACCAAAAAAAAGTCTTATTTGGCATATGAGGGGACAATGACATAAAAAAAAAAAAAACTTTAGTTGGCATAATTTTTCAAAAGGACTTCTAACTATGAGAAAAAAAAACAAAGGTTACAATTCTTTACAAACGAAAAGTAATACGTGGCCAACCAAACTCATCCTCATTGGTCTGCAAGCAAAATAAAAGAATGTGTTTATCCTTGGCCGCAAAAGGCATCGATGTTTTGTGAAGAGAAAACCCAAATATTCAAGAGGAAATGGCAAATTCTAATGCTCCTAATCAATTTTCTTTTCTTCTAGCAGAATCAGATTTCGAGAAACATAAATCAAAATATAGATACGAGGAACCATAAATCAATCAATATTTGGAAGATCCATACCATAAATTAGCTTCACAAGGTTTGAATAAATTAAATAAGTAAACCTTCAAGATGATCAAATTAGGGCTCAAAGATAAGCAAATCTCAAGGGACTCCTCTTCAATCTATATCAATTTTAACTTCAATCTGCAATAACGTCGATCTCTTCCCGTCCTTTGTTCAAGAAACACAAAACGTCGTCTTCATTCTCCCTCTGTTTGTGTTACTACTACCTTGCTTTCTGCTGCTTCTGCTTTTGGTGCTCCGTAGCTCACCAGATCTGATGCCCATCCGCCGACTTGGACTAAAGGGATTATGGATGCCATGAAGAAAACTAAAATCTAGCAGCAATTATCGATTTCTACAGTGGCTGCGGCAAGCCCGCGAAAGAACAAATCCCATAATCGCAACTCCTCCCACTTGCATTTTCCAGCTCTCCTTCAAATCTTCCCTTCTTCTTCTTCAATCTCAGTCGAATACAAGGGTGCACACGCGATTTCGAGAAGCCTGAAGAATTCTTTTTGCGTTTTTTTGGGTCAAAAACTCTTTTTAAAATATTACATAAATTTCATGTCATATGCCAAAACAGATTTTTCTTTTTGGGTCAAACTTTGCTGATTCAGCATTTTAACGGTTAAACTAACAATTCTGTTAGACATGAATCAGACTGCTCCATTTTAATAATTTTAGGGACGAAATTGCACCACTCATTATTTTAGGACACTAGATGTGTCTGAAAAAATAATTTGGGGTGTTGGGCTCATCTTAACTCTTTTTTTTTGTTAGAATATGTATCATATTTATCACCTACTTAACAATAATGATTATTTTATTATTATTTTCTCATCTAAAAACATTGGAGATATTTTCATTTATAAAATTATTTTTTACTTAATATATTTTGTTTGTTGTTGCGTATCCAGTGACCCAATTCACTTGAAAAGATTCTCTGAAACTATTAAGAAGAAATCGACAGTTACAATTTTAAATATTCTAGCCTCATAATCTCGATACTGGCCACAAGTGTATCCACATTCTACGTACATACATAAATAAAATATAAAATTTATTCTAAGTAACTGCATTACTCGCAATCTCACCACAAATTTGACCAAAAATATGGTCTCGCAATCAAATTATATGAAGCTTTTATTGAGAAGGAGTGTACCAGTTTAGTAGTGATACTGATGCAAAGTGGGCTACGCCTTGTGGGGTGTTCTTGTAGCTTCGTCAAAAATAAGGGCTGTTGTTCAATGACAATGACTCTGGCTTTCTCGTCGCTTCCACAAGCTACTTAATTGACTTTTCATATGAAACCAGATCAGTTACTGTATAAATCATCTTATCCTAATATATTCCTTTGTTTCAGACTCCTTATTTTCTTTTCTTTTTCTGGACCACATTGACCAAACTTCTGACGGAAGTAGTATCAGATAAACTCCAAAAGCCCTCACCCATTGCCCAGATTAGTGCTGTTCTGTTTCAGTTTAAGGAACAAACAAGTGCAAGTTCCAGTTAATTCTGGCCTACAACTGAATTAACTTGCAGCAAAGGAGTTATATTAAGTAATAACAATTGCTCAGTAGTACCATAGAATGCGAAAGAGATACAGTCATAAGTACTGATATCACCATGTTGTATTTAAGATGAGCAAAAATCAGACATGGCTGACACAAACTTGTTTGTGCTTGGCTCACACTACAACTTTCTTTAAATGCAATCTGGAAGGATCAGCAAAGCGAGCAGAGAAAGATCTAGACAAATTGTCTGGTTCATCCAGCGCTGAGCCCTGATCAAAGTTCTGCGAGTAAGTGTGCGGATCATAATAAGGGATATGCAGCGCTGTTGCAGAAGACTGAAGCAGCCTCTTCTTCTCCTTCTTAAACTTCATCCACAGCATCCTCCACTTCATCTTGCCCGACGAGCCACATCTTCCCAACTGGACGGTTCTGCTGTCTGAACTGCACCAGTTTCTGATATCCATGGCTGAAACACCACAAAGCTCTTAATTGTTTGGGATATATACCGGTGGGAATACCAAACGGTTTGGATATTGGACCGAGGTATATATATTATTATGTTGCCCTTGTTATGTGGATCGCACTATGTTCAGCTTAAAACGGAAGCACGTGAGCACGTGATAGCCTGCAGTTCGTAGCCAATTTGCCATGTGGGAGTTGATACGGTTTGAAATTTTTCTTATTTAGATAAGCCTGCCTACCTGTTTTGTTATTTGGTGATTGGAGGTGGGTATCAATTATTAAGGACGCTTATTAGATTCCGTTACGCCTTTGCACTTTTCTACGAGCCAGCGTTCAATATTCAACATTCCGCACTTCCTCTGATAAAGAAGTCTGAGAAAGAGCCATTTACCTATACTTGGTTTGTTTGTTTTGCTAATAACAGTGTGAACTGGTTTAAAAGATGCTTATGAGCAAAGCCCTTTGTGTGTAAAAATGCATTGCATTCAAACCCGTAGTGTGGCTTATTCCGAACTGATCTTTTTTTTCCCCCCAGTGGTGTCTTACTTTTGCAGGTTCTCTTTTTATGCCATCTTGCAGAAAGAAAAAGCGTGTCATGGAGAATTTAAAAAAGCAAACCGCGTCTGAAAGGAATCAGTACCAAAGGAAGAAAAGAGAGAAGAAAGAGAGATTCAAGGTAGGGACAGGAATATCATTCATACTGAAAAGCAAAGCAGGATTGAGCATCTCTGATCAAGAAAGAATCATAAATAATGTCATCGGTAGTTTACATGGGAGAGAAAATACAAAGGGGAAAAAAGAAAGGAAAAATGAAATCAATGAAACAAGTAGGTGATAGCCAGAGCGACCAGCATGAGAAGGTAAGCTACTCCTTGATCAATGGTAGTGCCTGCATTAGAACCAGTAAATAAGAAAGGAACTAAAATGAGTCTATATATATATAGTGAGTGAATAGGAAGATGAAACGCAATTATAGAGAATACAGACCGTCGCTGGTAGGAGGAGGAGCGGGAGAAGGAGAAAGATGGAGGGCATGAGCGAGGTGGGAGAATGAGAAGGGGAACAAAGTGAGAAAAGGGAAGGCAAGCATTCCAGAGTTGATCATGTTTGAAACACAGAGAGAAACAGAGAAGAGGGAGGGATGATATATTTATAGGAGGAGGGAAGAGGGAATCAGAATAAGAGGTACAAAAAGATTATGAGAAAACACAAGTTTATTTGTGTTGCAAGGTACGCGTCTTGCGTTTTCCACTCTGTATCCACACGCTGATTCTCTGAGCAAACAGTGCACACCAGTTTGCTTTTATACTCATTTAAAACTTCTACTACTACAATTAAGTCCACCTGCCTAATCATCAACATTCAACCCTCACATATCATATAAAATTTATAAGAAATCACATTATAAATCAAACGTAGATCTTAGGCCAATCTAATTTCTCCTTAAATTATGTGTTCCTATAATTCAAGATCCAACTGAATCACATGGTAATATAGTATACATATATCCTGGACGTTTTTATTGTCAAATCAGAAGAAAACAGAACATGTGAAACTAACCTGAAAGGTCAAAGGAGCTATTAATATGGCAGGGTAGCAGGAATAAAATAACAATAATTGCTCATACAAAACAGAGGAGGCAAGCAGAAAACCAGTACGGTGACTACTCATTGGGACAGTAGGAATGGTAATCACCATGTTGTGTTTAGGATGAGTAAAAACCAGACATCGTAGGCTTCAATAATTTCCTGAAGCTTTGGCTCACACTACCATTTTCCTTATATATATATATACACACCTCATGCACAGTCATTTCCACTTCAACCTGCTCCATCCTTTTCTTCCTCGGGCCCACCTTCAGATTTCTTGCATTTGAGCTTCACCAGTTGAGTGGGGTTAACGGAATCAGATCCCATCTTCAATAATATCTTACTTGTCCAGATTCGCTTTTTAGCCCCTCTGTTTGCTCTCTTTATCGGTCTTAATTTATATGTTTCACGACAGACTAATCAATAGTTAGTTAAAAAAATTTAGAATTGATTGTCAAAATTACAAGAGTGAAGATCTAAATAACCAAGGAATTCATTTTTTAGGGACAACATCAAGAGATTATCCCTGCAGGATCACAAGCCATAATTGCTTAATAATAATATTTCATTGCAGTTTGGAATATTTTCTTGACCAATTTCCATGCTTTGAAAGCAAGAGAAGCTTGAATTTGAGACACGTGAAAGAGAATCTGTAATGACAGAACGGCAGTAGCTAGCTATATATATCAGAATTGAAAAACTGGTTCTGAAAATGACCATTACAGATGCGAGAGTTTCATTATTATAGCAGTGGACAAACAAGTAGCAGAGCTTAATTTGATGAGAACGAAAGACACTGCTATTTCTTTACTGTAAGAACCATAAGAACCAGTAAAGAGACAAACATAGAGTTGGAGTTAACCATGTTTCGTACCCCAACCTGATCCAATCGTCACTGGCCCAGGCCATGCCACGTACAAAATGTTTAGTATTAGAAGCCACCAAATACTCCCACGCGGCACATCTCCTTTACGGATGGCTCCAAATTTTGGTTTGAAGCTGGGCTTAGCCTTGCACGCCTTCTAAACAAACTTGTCTCTTGGCGAATCTATCTACAGCCCACACAGCCATACCTTTGTATCTTTTGATCTTCCTCTACTATATGCCGTCATAACCCCATATTCTCCCCTTGTTTTGTTTTAAACACTCAAAACCCAGTGTTACATATCCACGCAAATCAGTCACAAAATCTGAAGCAGCAGAAGAAAAGACGAAGAAGAATGTGTCAACCTCCGGCTCCTTTTGTTGGCAGGAAAGGACTAACCGGGCACGCAAGGTGGGCTGCTGTGCAGGAACCAGTGGCGGTGGTTGATCCTGTGAGAGTGGAGAGTAGTGCTGGTGCCGGAGAAGAATGCGGTGGGGCCGGCGAGGGTGGTACAATCAGGAGCTGTGTGTGCTCGCCGTCGCGGCATCCAGGGTCGTTCCGGTGCCGCCAACATCACGCCGACTACGTGTGGCCTAGCCGGAGAATCATCACCTAGACTCCAGAGTCCCGTTTTGGTACGAACTATTAAAAATGAGAGATAAAAAATATAATTGTAATTAAAACAAATCATTAAAAATGTTTTTAACATAAATAATTATTTGATATATAAGATTAGACAAATCCATAAAGGTAGAATTGGAAAATACCACTTCTCTCCATGATATTTCTCAATCCTAGATACAAAGGTTTATCTAAACTCATATAACAAATAATCTCTCATACTAAACACTCTTTTAATAAATTTTTTTAATTTCAATCACAATTCTTATTTTTTATTTTTAATACTTCATATCCAAGGAAAAAATGAAAAAAAAAGAGTCACAAATGGTATCTGGCAGTGCTTTGCATGCGCATTAGTACATGTCCTCCCCTAAATTGTGAGCATACCTACGATTTTACTATTAGGATATAATTTTTGGAGGTTTCTTGGTGATATCCATTTTTTTTCGATGCGATCAGACACTTGCTTCTTCATTAGGAGAGACTACTAGTGAAGGCAAAAAATATTACTCACTTCCGTGCCTAATATAAAACTAATTAAGAGGTTAAATTTAATTTCATCATAAATATAAAATTTTAATTATTTTATCTTTTATATTTAGCATTTTTAAAAAAATTAATTTACCTAACTTACTGATATACGATAGAAATATTTCAAAAAATATTTTAAAAAATTATATTATATTTATTATAATTAACTAATTTATTTGAATGTGTTGGGTCACAGAATAATGTTGGTACTTTCTAGTTATTAGTAGCGGCCATTAAAGGGAGATGAAAAGTGATAGTTACGCTGGGGAAAGTAATGGTCACAGCATATTATAGAGATGAAGCTGGTCACTTGGATTTGTGCCATCTTAGCTTCTGCCTCCACCCAACGCATTTGGCACACTTCTTATACCACACTGATTCCCCCACCACCATCTTGACGTTTAATTTTCAGTTCACAGATTCTGTCTATTTAACTAGTTTATCAATTCCCATTTTTATTTGAAGGTGGTGAAATTAAGCAATACAACAGCAAAAATTTTACTTAAACGAAAAAAATTGTGTGGAAATAGATCGGCTTCAGTGTCTTTATCATGGGTCACACTGGTTTTGACCTCAATGATTATCTTCTTCATCTTAAATTGCGATTTCTGTTTATAAATTGTACGCCCGCAAATCTGAGGCCACTCAAAACCCATCCACAACTGTTTGGATATTGTGCAGTCAAAATTGGTGAACAGAGCCATAGGTCCTCTAATAATAACCAACTTTTTAATCTCACTTTATATGAACATTTGCACGTATGTATGTGTGCTTTCTATTCATGCACGTAAAGATTAACACATGACTAGGGTCTGATATTTGTTGAATATATATATATATTAATCATCCATAGAGGTTTAAATTTGATAATTAGAGTCATAATGATCGCTAGCTATTTTGGGGCATGACAATGATGTTTTGAGATATTCCACAACTGCAAGAAATTAAGAGAAGGAAGGAGAAGATTCAGAGCAAGAGAGGAAGGCAGAGGATGAACAGGCAAATTTAATACATAAGTATAACGGATCGATTACTGATTATAATCCAGTCTAGACCCAAGCATCATGTACACACACAGCTTTCTTGATGGAAATTAGAAATCACAACCCACAAAAAGAAAAAGAAATCAACAGAGACTGGAAAGAAGGGCTCATCAGAAGAAAATAACAATCAAAAGCCAGAGACTGATGAGAGAAGAGAGGCCTGCAGAGAGAAGCAGAGTCATGTGGTCTAAGTACTATGAGCATCAGCAGCGGCAGCAGGAAGAATCGAGTTCTGTCGTTTCATGGAAGATGAGCGATGGAAACGACATCGGAAAGAGCCCGGGTGCTTCGTTGGAGAACACAAGCACTGCCCTTTCGGTGACGGCGTCCCTGCTCCTCCGCCGCTACCGTTGTCGCTTTTTGGCGATGACACTGAAACTGAAACTCGATGCTTGCCACTCTCGCCCTCTGATTTTTGTGAAGCCATTGAACCCGCTCCTACCCAAAGGGAAAAAGAATATATATCAATTGATGGTTCACAAATCCTAGACCCCAGCTTGGGGTTTACATATGAGCATTGGAGATTGGACTTTTTTATAGTGGGGCTGTGATTTCCAGAATATTGAAGCTTCTTATTCATTTTATGTGGTCAATAATAATTCATTTATTTAGCATTCTAGAAAGATACTTTTTTAATATAATTTTAAAAATATCATATATCATAATATTTTTTAAAATAGATTTTCATATATGCATATCACGAAAGAGTTTTTTTGGAGAATGATATCACGAGAGAATTTCATGATGATGTCATTCATATATCCAGAAGACAAAGATCCATATCTACGGTTTTTTTTTTTTTTGGCTAGAAGATCAATATATCTACTTGGGATAATATAACAGGTGCGTAAACTTTGTTTGCCGAGTAATTTGTATGATACATGTATCAAATTCATACTGCGAGGGTGCAATTCATGTACTGTGCACCTAATTAATAAGTAATAGATGAATTTAATTATCTTGTAAACCTGATGACTACCGCATGAAATATAAAAGGGAAAAGGAATGACCTTTTCTGTCTCTTATTAATTATTTATTTTTCTTGGTTTGTCTTAATTTATTTTACCAGAATTTTTCTCGCTTTGTTTTATTCCTTTTATTTTAAATAGTTTTGTAGTATATCAACCCACCAAAACTGTATCGGTAAAAGGAGTTAGTAGCGCACTCAATGGTAAATCAAAGTTGAAATCCTGCACACACAAAAACGACTTACACTTGGGTGAAAATGTAAATTAAAAGTGAAATTCTGAGATTAAATTAGCATAGAAGTGGGTAAAAAAGATTCCGAAATCCAAAAGCAAGTCTCAGCTGTCAGAATATAATTTGCATTGTGGAATTAATAAATGTTAAATTCTGTGGTGACAAGAAGTGCTTCCTCTATTTGAGCATGCAAGTCAATTCGCTTTTCAATTCGCACAAATTTGGACAAATATTCATTAAATTTTGGACATCAAAGTATCAAACTATCAGTGGTTGCTTCAGTGGCATGTACAGGCCGCGCGGAGTTTACGAACCACGTTGACTAA